GGGGGGGGGGGGGGGGGGTGGGGGACTTACCAGAGGCAGTCCAGCATGACAGACATGCGGGCGCGGCCGCACTCACCTGCAACAACACACCATCACTATCTTTACTCAATGTTACAATTTTTACTTTGGGATTTACTTTCATAGGACAAAGAATCGTGCAGCCGCGCCCCTGTGCGTCTTATCATTTATCAAAAAGGAACGGCCAGTTAATTTTTGCAATTTCAATTCTCCTTGGAAAAACTACAAAGTAAAAGTCACTTGTCGTAGAAACGCCTTGGTCTTCTTCTCTCTCTCTCTCTCTCTAACGCACGGCATATACATGAATGTCGCGTTGTGTATCAGTGTGTGAAAAGTGTAAGTATTTCCTATCAACGGTTGTGTATTGAAGAAACAGAGAATTCGTCATGGGCAGATAGAATACAATTCAATGCTCTGTGGTGCACAGCGAAGTCGCCTCAATATTCGGCCGGGTACATCCAGGCACGCACACGCACGCACACGCACACACACGCACGCACACGCACGCACCCACACCAAGGCAAGGTCGTAAATAAATGGAATTCTTGATTATAATTCTTCCTTTAATCTTTCCATTCCCATACCTTAAATCTTTTCAATATCGCGCGGAGGAAGTCGTGGGCGACAGCTAGTACATAAATAAAATTATTTAAGGCAAAAGCGCATGCACAATGCGAACTAGGGAGACAGACAGACAAACGTTTTAAAATTAGTTTTTAGGTAAGGCAAATATAACTTGAGCATATCTGCATAGATAAGTGTAGAATTCGCTGGTGCACATTAAAACTGGCAGACCGGTGAAATATACGATCACACATAAGAAGTGTCGTCAAGTGGAAGTATGTAATTCCGTCTTTACTCTGATAAGTATGACTGTTGGAAGCCTAATTTTACTTCTCAGATTAGTATAGTCATCGTGGTCAAGTCCGCTTAGTAATAACTGCTGGAGTAATAGTCTGCAAGACGCGCAAGATAATGTGCAATACCACAACCGAACAAATGGAAGGCCGATGGCCAGGGTGCAAATTCAAGTCCTTCTTTCTTCCCACTCTTTTGTAACGCCGAAAGCTAGGAACGTGGCAAAGTACTCCTCAGACGCGATAAATAGAAATATTTACAGTTTATCCTTTCCTACCTTGTCTGATAAAGGTTTGCGCCTCAATAGAGTTCGCGGGCGGCGCACATGGAGGCGAGTATGTCAACTCGGGTGGAGGCTAGCGAATCTGTTCTATAGTCTCTATAGTCCAAAAACTAATGAACTTCATAACTTTTTACACAACATGTATTATATTTGTTCTTTTCACTATTAAATATGTCCATTGCATAGGTTGCCATCATGCTGCGCCCTTAGTTAATGTTTGTCCCATGCCAGTGGACAGTGCTCTCCGCTCATAATTATATTAGTGCAAAGCCGCGGCGCGCCGGTGTGTGTGTGTGCGTGTGCATGTGCGCGGCCGACTGAAGCGCGGCGCAATGTCAGGTGGAACAGCGATGTGGTGACGTCACACAGGTGGGGCGATAACACCGATAAGTGGCGTTGATTTCGCCATTGCCGACCCCCCACCCCCGCTCCTCCTCCTATTCGCTCCTACCTCACGCACGCTGTTTACTTACTACTTTTGCGAGATTCACGCGGCATAATATTCATTGCATAAAAAATATACTGATTTTCAATTTAAAATTTTCAATACTTGGAAAATTCCTATGAAACGGCTTTTACGTTACTATAATCGAGAGGTAATTACTAACTATAGGAGCACAAGTATTATATAGAGGCGAGAAAGCGCACCTGCAGAAGCAGGAAACGGTGTCGTCGATGTCTAAGGGCAGCGCCGCGGGTGACACGTGGTACTTGAGCCGTAGCAGTCGGCGCGAGCCGCGGCGCAGCATGGCGACGGTGGTGGTGGTGGTGGCGGTGGCGGTAGCGGCTGCGGCGGTGGCGGGCGGAGGTGCAGCGGCGCGCGGTGCCGCGGCTGCGCGCGGCGCGGGACTACCGCGCCTCACCGCGAGTGCGCGCCGCGGCGGCCGGCGTCGGAGCAGCCGGCGCTTGCCGTCACGTCACCGCGCGAGATAAGTCGCATGCATATCCTAACCGCGGCCGCGCTCACTACACGTTATTCCGACACAAACCCTTGACCATAACAAATCGCAATTTACGTAAAAATTAATATTTTCACTTTTTCTCTCATAACTATATAACTGTATTTGGATAAAATCGTGCTGCCAACGTATAGGGGCGGAACTACTGCATATGGCCTTTTCCAATTATTATCACAATTAGTTTATTTGGCGTATTCTAAAAAAGATTATTGTTCCGGCATGTTAAAGCAGCCCTCTGCAGCCCTCTGGTAAAGTATTTGTTTATTCTCTTTGGGGATTTTACAATTACCAGTGAATGACACAAAACGTCGATGATATTGAAATCAGCGCTGATTTACAACTTGACAAAATATAAATCCACACACTAATGTACTGTGCACACAGTTAAAATAACCTACCATTTACACAATAAGGTTTTCTTAAAATACGTGCTAATTATCGATAAACAGACATATAATATAATATTTTAAGAAAAATAAGATAATACATTTGAGAAAAACATGTCCATGTTTGTCGTTGATTACCTCCGTGTTTCTGCAGCCGCAGTTGATTGCCACTTCTCTTATTAAAAAAAAAGTAGACGACAGCAACAATGACATCTGTTGCAGAAAGCCGGCATCGGCTAGACCGGTGAAATACCATGACACAGGCACAAGATAGGCGTAAATCTGATCTAACTTGATTAAATAAATGAATGAATGAAAATGAGCTAAGTTTAGTGCTACCCATCCCACCCTTTTCTTATAACGAAAGAATAAGAAGGAGAAATGGAAATGGACATATTCTTTTTGTGTGCATCTACTCCTTCGTCTATTAAAGATCTGCAACTGCAAATGTATATGTTGTAATAAAAAATAACAAATAAAAAAGTGTGTGTACAGTCAGCAACATTTGGGACCTCTTTAAAATGCATCTATTTTCAAAATTAAAAAAGAATGTTATCATATCTTTTAAGAAATAACATAAAGTTGTACTTAACACACTAACTCTAACACAAGTATTAATAATATTAGAACAAGAACAAGTGTATAAGAAGTAGCTAAACCTTAACATTATAAATGGTGCTAATGCTGGAGATAAACATTACTTGTTTGGTTATTTTTCAAATTTATGTCTAGTCATTGTTATATGTAAAAGTTTTCTTTACTTCATAAAAATTTTGTCAAAAATATGTGTTAGCCTTTAAGTATACAATATTCCTATGTAGTTATAAAACTTTTCATTCATCATTGGGTCCTTTCACAAATATCTAAGTATAACAATTTTTCCATGAGATTGTATTTATTTCATGTAATATGTTGATACTCTAAAACAGATGAATGAACTGTTTTGTACTTTTATCCTATCTAATTAAAAAGCCCTAAGCCTAATCTTATGAGATGCTTTAGATGAGTAAATTGAAATAGATGATGATGGTCTTTGTTGTCATATGATCATTTAAATTTTGACATTTGCAATTGAAAACTTTACTCAATATAAACAATACAACAAAGTTTCAAATCAAATGTCTCCTATTTATGATAAATATTGGTATTGATAAATAAATAAAAACTAATTGCTTTAACTTTGTGCTGAAACAATGAGGTTTATAAAGCAACTGATAGATCTTCATTCTGTTGTCTGTACATACATTTGTGTGGAGTGTGTGATTGATTTCAGCTGCATGTAGATAGAATACAGTACGAGTGAGAGAAGACAACTGTTTTGTTTGTTTTTACACAATCACAACAATTGTTAAAACAATTCAAAGCAAATAATCATTTAACTACTGACTTTGAATAGAATTCTGAGTCATTTCTTTAATACTATCACATAATATTTATATCCAAATTATTCAAACAAAAAGGAGAAATGTTTTAGTGATTTATACAATACCATAGTAGTTTTTATTCTTTTAATTTTTCTTAATAATATGTGTGCTTTATGAAAATTATTACGTTGTAGATAAGTGGTACAAACTTGGCCAGATAGTTCCAGACGATTTGATTTTTATATATTTGTAGCGGAAATCAATTCCTATATAAAAAGCAGGCACACTTAATCTGTTTACTCAAACTTTTTACTACAAGAGCGAACGAGCTTACTAATTAGACAAGCTGCAACATATAGTCAATGAAAGTCAACAGTACTGGGATTTGACTTGGATCACTTACCCCATGAACCAGTCGACGGTGTCGCGCAGGTACTCCGGGAGCCGCTCCAGCTTGACGGATAAATTATTTTCACTCCCGAACAAAATGAAAGTACTATACGACAACGTCTCCGTCTCCACCAAGTTCCTGACTTAGCAGCACTAATTTATTAAATATCCCATCACATTTGCTTTGACACTGAACAGCTTAAACTAACAGTAAACCGATAAAAATTATTTACTGCTAACTAGAGCGTGTCATAGTCACAAAAGATTCTAATTTTCATCGTAGCAGCTGAGCTGAATACGCCATGTTGCGCAACTTCAGCTTTGTTAGGATTCAGCAGACAAAAGAGAGACCATTTTCATACAATAACAAACATCTATAATAATAACCCATGAACAATTATTGTGTTAACAGAAGCAAATATTAAGTTAGTTCTTGTAAATATTCAGTACTCAACACTAAAACACAAAATAATAAGTTGTAAAATATTTATTTTTGTTAGATAGGTACTAGGTGCCACAGAGTACATATTATCGGGGAGGCCATACAAATTCGTCTATTTTACGAATCGACTCACAAAATTCATTTTTAAGTACCTTTTCCTACACATTTAAATATATGAAAGTATATTCATTTTTATTTTGAAAATATCATCTAAATAATGAAAAGGTTCTAGACCGTGTATTACATCAAATATATAAATAATGAGCCCACAAAAAAGAACCCTAAAATTCAATTTCCGTCCACCCAAGACATATGTACCATCCCTTTAGTACAATTACCGTCCACCATGTAATTACTTTATAGTAATTACATGGTGGACGGTAATTATGTGAAATTATTAGTATTGGCACATAAATAAATACTAAAACATCTATTCTATCAGATATGTTGATAACAAAGCACTTCAAATTTAAATAAGTAAACAAATATAAATAATTAAAAAGGCTTTCCTTAACTAAATTGACAAGAAACTAAGAATTTCTAATGAGCTTCGCGCCTGTCCGCGCCGCGCTGGGTACCATCAGATCTCCCCTATAGTCTATAGCCCTAAAACATACTCTTTGGTATAGATCATTTATATACTCTTTGGTTTGTGTAGAGTATATAGGCAATTGAGTGTAGGTTAGAAATTATAATTATGCCTACAATTTGATTAGAGTTCCAAGAGTTCTCTTCAGTTTCTGGGAAGAAGAGTTTTTAAAAAGACTTACGTCTATTAATCTCATTTTTAAATTGGATCCAAAACTAGTTGTAATACGTAATCATAATGTTTCGTCTTCCATTCGGCGAAAGGGTAGATCCTATGGAAGAAAAAAGACAAGCGAGGGAGAACACTATAAATAGTGTTATAACGTTTTGCGTACTTTGCGCTGCTATAAGAATTGGTAAGTAAAAAGTATTAGAAACCATTATTTTCTAAATAATACGTCAGCTCAACAACAAAATTCACAGTTTATCACGAATACTGTAACTATGTGAGGGGAAGCGAGATGCTTGGTGACTTGTAGTTTGCTGCTAGCGTGCAGGTGCAAATTGAGCCGAAGTGCAAGCCAGTTCACTTCACACATGTGAACTGAGGTCATCAATTTTAGTAGCTAAGCTTTAACTGTTTTAGATATCAATTTAATATGTAAATCGAATACATCCTATGGAAACTGACACAATTCCAAAATTATAGGTATCTTATGTATTTTTCCAAACTGTGTTCTAAATCTATACCGAAATTCATCGAGATCCATGCAGTTCAGACATCTACTAACAAACATTGTTCCATCCAAATATTTTATCTTCTATGATATTAGTAAGATATCACTTCTACTCACAAAATTGATTAGGTGAAAGCAAACTGTCCAACGTGTTATTTGGAGATGACAATGGTAACCATGTATACAACTTGCTTGATAGCTGACTATATTGAAAGGAAAGGAAACACTTTGCATATTCAGATTGGACCATTAACATCCAGCATATTTCTAATGCTAACCTATGTAGTAAAAGTGTCATGCAGTTGTTTGTTGCAGCTCCCATGATCCTGGAGCATAGCGGGGTGCAGTAGAGCAGCGGGGCAGTCGGTGGAAGCTGCATGTCTTTGTGCAAATAAAAGGAGTTAGATAATAAATTACACTGAAGTTTATTTCCATCAAGAATACAATACATATTGACCGACATCACTTCACAACTTTGTTACAATTCACTCCATCAACATACACATCTTATGCTCAAGGAAATAATTGCCTTTTTTTCCATTATCTAGTTTACAAAATTCTAAACTCTGTTAATACAATGAAATTTAAGCATTCTTACAGTTTATGTATTCACTAAATCCATTTAGTATTGAAAATAAAAATGATCATGATAATATAGAAATTGATTTAAGTTTTTCATACATATATATTTATACAATTTAAACTAAGGTACGCTCACGGAGGACGAGGTGAGGAGAGGGGGCGGAGGAGAGGGGAGGGGAGTGCAGCCATACGTACAAACGAACACTATACATTGTATACATTTGTAAAAAGTATCAAAATCGAGTAAATGGCCTACAAAAAATTATCTCGAAATACTAACATTTGTTTACATAGTTAGTATAACCCAAAGACAGGCTGTAGTCGAGAGTCGCCGGCGGACGCGTCGGGCGTTCCGACCGACGGCAGCAAACGTATCTATTGTTAACTATTCGGCTTAATTATATTTATATGAGATGAGCGCAAAAGGAAAGCGGTGCGAATGTGTGTCCGGGTCACGGGCCTAGTCCTCCGCCTCCTCCTCCTCAGACTCCTGCTGCTGCAGCCACGTCAGCCACGTGTTGACCTGCACAGAGAAGTCGCTGAGTGCCGGCGCCCGAACGCTTGTGCGTGTCCGGCGCCGCGCTCGCTTCCCTTACCTGGAAAAGGGCCTCGCCCTTGCCGGGGTAGGCGTCGGTCACGTCCTCGCGCCACCGCAGGAACGCCTCCTCCTCGCACACCTCCAGGTTGTACAGGTACATGAACCAGCGGAGGAGCATTCCTTCACAACATCAACAACACACAATCATTATATTGCACGCCGAGGCAAGAGCTTATAGCGACCTGTCCTAAACTTAATATTAAACTTCTTATTTTAAGACAGGTGTATTTGAGGCTCTGAAAGTAAAAAAATGAGGACTGTACATAGGGACGATGATAGGAAGAGGATGAGTTAGTGGATGTACATGAAAGGAGAAAAATAGCTGTAGCTTCTTGCAAGACAAAGTGGAAAGCAAAAGAAATGGGCTGGGAATAGTATTGCATGTGGTGAAATAAAGATCTCATGGATGTAAAAAGAATAAATAATTGGATGATAATTCTTAAAGCTGTTGAGAGGAGTGGTATTAGATGTTGTTAGTGCATATGCAATAAAAGATAAGTTCTGGGAGCATTTCCATACCATGATAGCATGCCCGGTGACAAGGTGACAAGTGATTGAAATAAGGGAGGAAGGATACGAAGGAGAACATGGAGGATGGGGCTTTAGGGAAAGTAACACCTTACCTTACCTACATCTCCCTAGCAAACACCAAGAACAGTTAGTAACATAACATAGCAACAGATTTAAAACATAAATAGATTATCAGCTAGTTAGGACTTTTCCTAAATTAACATCATTGAATTGAAAAATTTCAAAGCTATATCTAATGAGGTGTTAGTCCCACATCACTGGCTGCTTGTATCACATCTCATAATAAAGCACCTAGTTTTTAAATAGAAAAGAAAGCTCCTGACAAATATTAAATGGCATTTAATTGAGAGGAAAGAATGCAGAGTGGTAGATAAAATTATTCAGATTGATTTTTTTTTACACTTTGGTTTGTATGAGATGGATAAATTAATGTTGGATTAAGATCCTCCATCCATATAGACCTCTATATGATGTGCTGCTAAAGATATTTTAGAATAAACGAAACATTTGGGAAAGATAGATAAAGATGACCACCAAGTGGTGGTGGAATGATGGAACTACAAAAAATTATTTGTTTGCAAAGATTTCATTGTTGGTTTAATGTTTTATTTATAGTTTGATTTTGGACACTAAAGGAATAATAGAAAGATACGATAACGATTTTATTTGTGTTATTCAAAAACAATAATTGTTGTTTCGATTTCAATTTGTAAAAGATTTAAGTCAGCCATCCTCGCCGAATCGTCCAATCGTTCACGGGCGAACCAATCTTTTGCAAATTGTAATAAGTGTGCGATTGGATTGTCACCTTTGGGGTAGCGGTGCGCGTGCGCGTGCACCTGCACGGCGTAGACGGCGGCCAGCTGCAGGTCGGGCCGGCCCTCCAGCAGCGCCGTCAGCAGCGGCGCGTACGCCTCCACCAGCGCCTTCTCGCGCTCCAGCGCCGCCTTGTCCGCCGCGCCCCCCGCGCCCGCCGCGCCGCCCGCACCCGCCGCGCCCGCCGCCGCCGTCACGTGCCCCGCCACCAGCGCCACCAGCGTCGACACGAACGCGCCGTTGTGCCGCACCGCCGGCTCCACGTTGGCCTGCCACAAACCCCCGACAACTCGCACACCACTCCCTCACCCTTCTCTGACCACCCACTGGACCTTCCGCATATTAAAACTAGACTAATTATAGAGGGCATCATATTTTCGGTACGCTTTTTGCTATTTGTTTTTGGTGATATTTGGTCTATTCAATAAACACTTAGGTGACATATTTTAAGCTTTTAATCAATAAGAGTCTATCTGCGGACTGAAAATGGTGAACGGTCGAGGTGATGTCGGAAAAGAAACAGTTTTTTCGGGCAAGGAATATAGAGAGTGGAAAAAGTGAGGTCGCTTGAATATACAGATGTATGTAGATAGGATAGGATATGCCGTACCTTGATCCAGCGATAGAGCGCGAGCGGCGCGGGCTCGCTGGCCAGCTGGCGCGCGAGCTGGGCGCGCACGCGCAGCTGCGGCACGAGGGCCGCCAGCCCGCGCGCCTCCAGCGCCTCCAGCGCGCCCGCCGCGCCGCCGCTGCGCTCCGACACGTGCGCGCACAGGTTGATCTGTCACATGGGATGGGATGGGATGGATACTATTTATTGTACTTTTACTATTGCAATCAGTGTTTTCCCAATATATTTTGTATTATATCGACTTCTCCTTTTGCGAATAAAATCGCTAGAGCAAATTACAAACGGAACGCCCTCGACATTTCAAGACGTCGGTAAATTGTTTTTACCCAGAGGTGTATAGGTCTTTGTGTATGTTAACTCTATTGTGATGCCCCGTACCCCCGGAGACGGGACATGGCAGCGGTCCACAGTATTGATTTGTTTTAAATTTACAATACTTTTATTATGTTACCGGTTTCATCAAAATTACAGTGGTTTAGTGGAGAGTAGAGGAGGAGGTGTGGTGTACCGCACCTTGCTCTCGTTGTAGAGGCGTTGCAGCCGCTCCGCCCCCGCTAGCCGCTGCAGCCGCTGCAGCAGCTCCAGCAGTAGCGGGTAGTGCTGCCCGCCCTCGCACCAGGCGCCCGCCTCTGCCAGCGTCACCAGCCTCTGCGCACGCACAAACGTGTTCGAGAATATTAAAACATTTATCGAGTCATTATAGAGAAGTGAAGCGAACCTGCAGCGTGGCGTGCGCCAGCAGCGCGGGCAGCCGGTCGTGCGGCCAGTGCGCGTGCACCAGCGCCCGCAGCGCCTCCCCCACGGCCGCGCGCTTCACGCTGCGCACCACCGCGCACGCCGCGGACGCCAGCGCCTCCGCGCCCGCCTCGCCGCCCTCCTCGCCCGCCGCCCCGCCACCCCCCGCCTCGCCCGCGCTCGCCACCTCGCCCGCCAGCGCGTGCTCCAGCACCGCGGCGATGACGCGCCGCAACACCTGCACACACGCGTACCCGTCCTACAGTACAGTACACGCTTGCCGATACAACACTCTTATTATACCTTTAACATTTTTACTTTTGTCCTTGATTCTTATAACAAATTGCATCACACGACCCGAGCACAGCTGATGATTGATGGCGGTTGTCATGTGTAAGGTGTAAGGTAAGAGGTATGAGGGTCACCTTGTCGGGCAGGTGCAGGTCGCGCAGGCGCTGCAGGTGGAGGGCGGCGGGCGCGGGCAGCGCGGGCTCCGCGTCGTCTGCAGGCGGAGGCGCGCCGCCCGCCGCCGCCAGCGCGTCCGTCGCCTCCACCGCCAGCCGGCATGCCTCCTCCTTGCTCAGCCCCTGTCACACACGATACTTCCTGTATCAAATCGCTTATCATTTCTTTTTTTTTATAAGAGAAGGGGGCAAACGAGCGGCGGGATCACCGAGGTGATCGACGACACCCATGGACATCTGCAACATACATACATAATAACCTCATAAGGAAATACAAACATTTATCTTTGAATTTCTCCACCTCACACATCTCATCTCCACAAAGTTTTCCTCCATAGCAGAATTGTACATACGAAATTCTAAAATTGAAAAAAAAAAACATCGGAATGTGAGAGAGATCACAATGGCAATGGTAGAGCGCTGCGTCACCGATGTTCTCTGCGTTTATTTATAGTGAAAAAGTAGCCGACCTTGTCCTTCTTCGGCTTGTCCTTCTTGTCCGGCGCCGGCTTGATGGTGATGGCGGGCTCCTTGAGAAGCAGCGGCGCGCTCGCGAACGTCGGCGGCAGCACGTCTGCAACACACGTGAGGAGTACACATTCCGGCGGGTGGGGGTGGGGGTGGGGGTGGTGGTGCGGGGGTGTGGGACACTCACTCTGCTGCACGGCCGGCAGCGGCTGGTGGTGCTGCTGCTGGGGGCGCGAGAGCCGGTTGGCGGTGAACATGAGGGAGTTGGCGGCGGGACGCATCTGCACGTCGGCCAGCGCCGCCAGCGCGCCCGCCGCGCGCGCCTTGCCCGCCGCGCTGCCCGCGCCCGCACCCGCACGCCCGCCCTCCTGCCGGCACGTACACTAATATAATATAATACGCAACACGACCCACCTCATCTCTTATTCGATAACAGGTGTACGACATACGAATAAAAAGTATCAAACAAGATAACATTAATGTCTCTGGAAGTGTATTGTGTGCGTAAGAAGGTGAAGAAGAGATCAGGGTTATCTCCTCCATCGTGTAATTCATTCATAAAAGGGTATGGAAAATAATTTGTTTACCAGA